AGTCAGGCCTGTCACAGGAAGTAAGTGTTCAGGCAGGGACAGTGGTTAGGAGAGCATTCGGGCTCTGGAACCAGACTGACTGGGCCCAAATCCTGGTTCTAGCACTTGCTACGTAATACCCTGGGCCTCGGTTTTCTCATTTCTAAAATGAGGTTAGTATTAGAACTTGTCTTTTAAAGTTGTTGTAAAGATTAAATAAGATGTTTAAAGGGCTCAGAACAGTGCTTGGAACATACTAAGTTTTAGCTATTACTAATATTTTTTTCTTGGAAATATTTCCACTTATTATGTAAATGTTGGGATATGTAAATAATTAGATCTTTCCCCATACATTCAATTATTAACTTTAAGGAAAAAATATACACATTCAGGAAAAATAGTTATTTTTCTACATGTATTATTTAAAAAATAATAACAGTATAGCAAACGCATCCTTTATTCCAGGACCTCAAAAGTTTACAAAATGCATTATTCTAATTTTACTGCTAGGAAAATGGAGGCATAGCATTTAGGTGACTTGCACAGCTATTGAAATAAAGAAAGCCAGATAATAAAACAGGCCTATCCTTCAGAATGTTTATGAAATATAATTATTTGTTTGTATTTGATGCCTTTGACAATTGTGGCATACTTGACAAAATAATTCTGATGAGAGTTCAGAAAGATATATAATTAAAAATTATATTAAAATTACCACTTACAACTAAAAACTATGATTTACAAATGACAGACAAAACATTTTTTCTAAAATTTTTTAAATTTTTATTTTTGATTTAATTATTGTTCAAGTACAGTTTTCTGTCTTACTCCCATCCCAGCCCCCCCCAGCGCTCCCCACCTCCCTCCCATTTCTAAAAATTCTTTGATATGACTAAAGTCATATAGAAAAGTAAAGGCTGTGGATATTGAGTAAAAATAATCTCCTTAGAGTAATTTAAGAATAAAGTGGCAGAGATAAAATTCTCTGGAAACAAACTTAAGTGGTTCAAAAAGTCAGAGAAGCAATTAGACTTATAAAAGCTACTAAAGGCACACACACACACGCCAAAAAGGAAGGACACCCACTAAAGGCAGGAGACTTTGCAGATAATCAATTCAGGCCTTTGAGGGGCTTAAGAGGTGGAACTATAGAATCGCCGCCCCCACCCCTGCCAAAATAATTAACTCCAAAGTAAAACTGTGAATATAAAGCCACTAATGTGCAAATGCTAAATGAACTGAAATAGAAACTTTCAAGATATATAATAAAGTGACACATTGTGTGGCAATGACATGTGTGAACGCTTTTACAATATACATCTGCCCAAGACTGCAGTGACACATGCATGGGCTGAAGGTCCACCATAAGGCATTCCTTTCTACTTAGTAAAGGCAGTACAAAGAGTCTTCTGTTTGAATGGAGATATAATTACCTCACAAAGTAAGATATGCCAATGGTAACTAGAAACAAAGCAGTTGTCAGAAGTTCTGTTCTACTTTTTGGAGAGAGGTTAGCTAATTCCTCTCCCTTGTTTAAAAACATAACAAATGTGACTTCCTAGTAAATCCCAAAATATTTAATTTCAATTTAAAAGTCTATGGAAAGGTACTATTCCCAGTGAATTTGAAAGGAATAGTTAGCTTAGCTGAGAGGAAAATATTTGATATCTACTTTATTATATAATATCAAATTAATGATACAAATTCTTTATAGAGTATTTAAATCAAAACTACAGAATTTAGATTTAGATAATTAAATATAAATATGTCTACAGCATCTTTCTGAACTACTGAGGATTTGTTTGTGCAGTCTTTTTAGGGTGGCAGGATATCACGTTAAGCAGTACTTGGTGGTTTAATATGCTCCCTAGTCCTTCAGAAACTTCCCTATAATCAATCTTACTTCTTCCTTCACAAAGGACATGTTAGTTGTATGAATTTATCTAATCTCAAATGCCTTGGTAAGAGTGCCTAGCTAGCTCAGAGCGTGAGACTTAAAATGTCATGGTAAGAAAGTATGGTATTAAATCAGGAAATGTGTGTGGGGGCAGTGGGGGGACACCTTTGCACATTTCACACATACTTTTGGGCATCCAACAGTAACTTTCCTGATTTACTAAAAGGCAGGAAAAGTATTTGGTAAACACAACACAAACATTTAGCATGTATATTTCAAAAGTATGAAAAACTGTAATGAATAATTTAAAAAGTGTGATTGAAATGTGAAGATGTAATACTAAACTATGCTTCACTACTAATTTCAGAATACACCTACTATTTTAAAAGTATAATACAGAAAAAATTGTGGAGAAGTGATATGGATTGATTAGGCATTCCTAAGTTAGCCTTACGGTTGGGACAAAAATTTGTCTTTTAAAATACAGGTTAAGATTTGGCCCATGTGAGCTATAACCAGAAGTATTTTTTCTTCAGAGGTTCAGAAGAACCCTTTTAATGATCTTGGTTTGGTTATTAAGAGCCTAAACATGTGTACTGTAGCAACGCAAATGCTGACAACAAAGTTTTTTGAGAACTGGTACGAAAACTACTCCTACCCTCCACATACACAGAATGCAGGTACGGTGTTTAGAGGTGATGAAGGAAGAGGGGAGCAGGAGTCTACCTATCTTACCACCACCCAAAATAATGCTTACATAATGGTTTTTGCTGTGGTTGTTTATTTTTATTTGGAATGCTATTAACAATGCTATGATGAATACAAGAAGTTTGAAGAAAAGTATAGATATTAAAACTATTCAATTTCCTCAAAAGACAATCTGAAAATCTACAGGAACAAAGAACACCAATGAGTTTTGTATGTTTAAGGAACTTTCTATCATAGGCAACCTTTCACCAGGGTAAAAGTTCACTTAGATGGGAGAAAAAAAAAACATTCAACACCCTCTAACATAAATTTATGTTGTTTATTTAAGTTAGCTTTTAACCAGACTATCTAGTTTAGCTAGGCAGTCACATGTATTTCTGTGGGGAATCTACTTGGGACTGAGTTTTTAAATCAAGCTATTTATTTTACTAATCCATCTGAAGTTAGATTTTATGCCTTAAAGCATTTTCTGAATATCTATAAACAGAAAATTGTTAAGATCAATTTAAAGTCTTTTACTGAGATGTACCTTGCACATAATAGCAACGACATGGAAAACTTCTGTTGTGAACTCAGTTTTTATTGTAAAAAGTTTTCTTCTATTAATGGTGTCACGTAAGAGGATTTATTCCAGGAGGGTCTCTTCTATAGTCAACCAAATCAAGACTTAAATTAAAACGGAATGTGCCTGGTTTTATTAGTTTGGGTTACTGGATAAATAAATTTTCTCCTCTATCTGGCAAGAACTTTAAAATAATGTGAAGAATGAATAAAAGTTACTTATAAAAAGATAAAAATGAGTTAAGATCACATAGGATTTCTTCTCTTTCAATTTAATAATCAAAATAGTCAAATTCAGTTATTTGTTTAAGACTGTGTGGCCAGCACTAAAACCCTGACAATATTCCTGGCGTTTTTAATCTCTGGAATAAAGGTATGGCAGAAACATGGCTAGTACTTGACACCAAACAAAAAGTCTAGTTCTTCATGGCCCAAAAGGTGACCTGTATCAGTATTTATACTGATGACCATGTATGACTTGCTCTAACCAATGGAAATGCTTAGATATTTTGAGAAAACTAAAACATAAAAGCAAAACCCAAAATCAAACAAAGAGGAAAACAAAACCAAAGCTAAACCACATCAAATGAAAGCAAACCTCCCAAACATGGCAGCTATTTTAACTAGCAAAATGTATGTATGATACACAGCTTTACTGAAGTATACAACAAATTGTACATATTTAAAATATATAATTAATAAATTTTGATATATGTATATAGCTACAAAACCATCATCACAATCAAGATAAGTGTATGCAGTTAATGGAAAACAGGAACACTATGTTATATAAACTGTAGCATGCAGTATAAATGGTATACTCATATAATATTAAATCAACTGTCAAAATTAAATAAAATGGCACAAAAATCATAACTTATTTTGATAAATGTTCATAAAGATTTAAAAAAACCATAATGACTTCAGACAAAGCAAGGAGGGTAGCAGTAGCTAAAAATTCATTGGTTGAAATATTTTAACATCTATTTCTTCCTGAAGAAAAAAAGTCGCACACAATTAACTATTTAGATATGGAAAGAAAAATAAAAATAAGCACTAGGTCAGAAAGCATTTTAGATGCAATTTATTCATAGCATTAACTGGCAGGGGAGTCTTACTCCATAAAGCAGTTCCTAAGACTAGGTAATATAAATGGAAGTTTAAAAAAGTAGTAACTGAATCAAGCATCAGAAATGTGACCAATTTAACCAAATTTTATAGTGTAACATTTAAAATCTGTTTCTTTTTGTATAAAGTTTGTGTACACTCATGCTATACTGTGTATAAACTAACTATACCATAGTTCCTAAACTTTATACCAAAGTTCCTAGACACATTTCAAACTTGCATATAAATTAGTCACACATTTTAAAACTCAGTAAAATCAAAGTTTAACATTATACTGTTTATAAATTGTTAAAAATCTTAAGTTTCTGTAGAGTTATAAAATATCCCTTTGGCTTAATCTTTTTCTAAAAGTCTTACCTCTGGTTCTCTGAAGGACTGATTATTCACATCTAGGACTCGTATAGTCCTTTTAATAGGTAGGAGACCTCCAGTCTCATCATGCGCCACCATGCTTCACCAAGTATCCCTTAAAATCTTTAGAATTAATCCACATCCAAGTCAGCCCCTATAACCAAGCACGACACAGGCACACAGACTTTTCTTCTGAGTGCTCAGCCACCCTTGGCAGCCATTTGCCCATGCCTCTTCCTTGTGGTGGAGCTAACTGCCTCTGGGAGCCGCAGTGAAAAAGCACACAGACCTCAAGGCTCTGTGGGCGGGGCCAACTTCGGACCAGGCTCCAGTGGGCGGACACCTAATGGACACGTGACTCCAGCTAACCACAGCTAGGCACACCTAGGCTTCTCAGTTTTCACTGTTCAAGAGAAAGCTCTTTAGAGGTTTGGAATATCTACGGTAAGAGCAAAAGGGAAAAGGAAGCTGGGTAAACGTAAAGCTTTTCCTGATTTAAAATCATTCCCTAAGGGAAACTAATTGCTTATCTAGGTTACCTACTTTAGTACTTGGCCACAGGCAGGAATACCTTTTCCATAAAACCCTATTACCTAGGAAGAAATTTAGTATGTACAACTTGACAACTTTAAGAAAATCGTAATTCGGAGTTAAGTAAGTGAATATACTAAAGAAAAGCCTAATTATCCAGGGGCCTTGCCTTTATTTTACATGAGTACCAGTATATACACAATTCTAAGGTTATCTAAGTCTTCAGAAAATGGTTCCCACCATTTTTTCTTAAGACTAGCTGCGTAAGTACAACAGACACACTTCAGGTCACTCTGTTTCTAAAGTAAATGCAAATTGGGCTACCTCAGAGTTTAAAGTTCAGTATTTCTTAGACTTAAAAGCAGTTACTTTTTGTTTTAAAAATTTCATATCTGTGTAACAGAAGTTTTATAACAAATACATAAAAGGTGATTTCTGTTCTAAAAATGCATAACATAGTCCTTCTCTATTCTGTATTAACCTTGATGTAGTCCTAACGGGGTAAAAAGAAATCTTCCAAAGTCTTGCATTTTACAGCTGAAGAACTGAGGTTCACAGAGGTGAAATGACCTGCTCAAGGTCTCTAAATTTCTAGTCCAAACCCTTTCCCCTATGAAAAAACACTACTTCTGTTGGTTTGGTAGGCCTGCTATGAAGCAGATTTTCTTTTTTAATATATAAAGTACTGTATTGTATTTTGAAAGGTATGATTTTTATCCTAACTGTATATACTACTATTTATGATATAATGTTGGTAATCTGCAAAAACATTTCTATTCTTAGGATTTATTAGGAACAGAAAACTATTACCATGTAGAAGGCACTATTCTAGATACTGAGGGTGATACAAAAAAAAATAGGTTTCATATTTGCTCCTAAAGTGCTAATAGACCATTATGTAAAGGTAGGTCACATGAAAAGACAACCAGTATAAGACAGCTTTTGAAAATTCCAAAATAAGCTATATAGCTTGAAAGTGCTATAGAAGTTCAGAAGCAGAAACCACCTGGTAGTTCTCTGAGCTGAGATGGGAAAGACACTAGGGAAGAGATTTTGAGATGTTATTTCATGCCTTGAAGGCCACGTTATGTTTTTCATAGGTTTGGGCAAGGGAAAAGTGCAAAACTTTCTCAAAGTAACATAAGGGTGTGAACCTAATGTGAGGTCACGGGCTGTTGGTAAAGATAGGAGGAGAGAATTTTATTAAGCAGATGCAACAGATAAATGAAAGTTATGTTGTAAGGTGGTGTTCAAGATGGTTTTTAAAATGTATGGAAATATAAAGAGCTCTGTGTAAGGTAGGTAAAGAATATATATGCAAAAGATAACCTATGGGAGAAGTCAAAGATGCCTATGATTTATTTTCAAGTTAGGAGGGGTAAATGTTAATGTAAATAATGAAATATAGAGGAATTAAGCTTTGAAAGAAAATTCTGAGTTTCATTTCAGATGAGTCTGAGGTGGTGGAAGGACATGCAAATGAAAATACTGAGCTAGTACTTGGAAATGCTTGACAAGGACTTGGAAGATGCCAGACTGGGAACAGATACACGGATCCGAGTTAAGCTTTGGGAGTGAATAAAATGCCTGGGAGAGAATATCTGGATGAAAAGACCAGAGGTCCAAGGATTTAACTTTGGAGAAATGCTAAGGGAAAAAGAATTTTGCAAAAGGAACAGTCAGAAGGAAAGAAACGGAAATGAAAGCAAGATGTCAAGGGCAGAAAATGTGTTAGTTACAGCAAAAAGGCTGAGAAGGATAAGATTCATGGATTTAGTAGTTTTAAGTTTAATGGGGACCTTCAAGTGTGCTAATTCAGTGGAATAAAGACCCAAGATTACAGAGGTTGAAGAGCGTGTAGAACAAATAATGGCACAGACTATAATGACAAATAATCTATAAAAAACAATTTACTAAGGTTTGTAGGACAACGTTATTTCTTGCAGGAAGAGGCAACGTTCCCCTTCTATAAACACCAGTGTGTTCTGTATTGGTGTTAATTCATCTTTCTGTAGTGACTTTTTTTTATGCTTCATAAAGTAATGGTGACTGGTTATATCTATCTCATCATCTATCCTTTATTACCTGGTCACACATGGGCAATGTGATGTGGTTTGCCATAAAAGTGCTTGACTGTTTGTAGAAGAGAGTTCTATACAGTATTAAAGTGGAATCACCTTGGAGACCATGGAATCCAATTCCCTGATTTTACAGATAAGAACAATGTAAGATCTAAACCACAGGTGGCAAACACAAGGCCCTCGGGCTGAATCCGGCTCTCTGCCTGGTGTTATCTGGCCTGGCACCTTGTTTCTACCTGGCAGCAGGGCCGAGCTCCTTGCCCCTAGTTAAGGGGTAGTCACAGTTATACAGTCCTAAAATTACATTTGGCCCTTTGAAGGCAACCTCAAGGCTGATGTGGCCCCCATTGAAAATGAGTTTGACACCTCTGGCCTAAACCCTCAGAGGTAGTAAGAGAGTGGACTAGAACCCAGTAGTCTGGTTCAGTTAATCAGTTAAAAAATTGTGCAAGTAAGGCCAACACTTTAAGACCACTTAGGTTCACGAAGGAATAAACAGCTACATAGAATGGATCTCTTACCTGATGTCTTTTTCCAAACTATGTTTTTCTGTTCAGTTCTGAGACAGGTAAGGTCAATGAGGGGAAGGGATATCTCTCATTTCTCTCCTTTGGTTGAGGACTCACAAGGTAAAGATAAGAAGTCTTTAAAAAAGCATAAAGGGCCAAATAGGATGTAATGGTGATAGTAACAGAACAAAAATCCCCGTTCACCAACCCTAAAATCAGCTTCATCAGGAATGTTCAGGTTTATGGACCAAATATAATTTAGGCAATGGTATATAGAACCTAAAGAAGCAACAATGAACACGGGAAGTTCAATTAGTACTCTGAGCGATGAACCTGAGAGAATCTTGACTCCAACTACACTCCTTGCAAATCAGAGGGCTGGAAAAATCCTCTGAGATTATTTATTCATCCTCTTCAGTTTTCTGAGGAGGAAACTGAAGGACATCCGTGAAAAAGGAAAGGGAAATTTTGAGTTCTTACTCTGTGCTAGGTGCTTTATGTATGTTATTTACCCGGCTTTATAAAACATGTATTATTACCTCCATTTTACAGATGACAAAACTAGACTCAGAAAGTTAAAAAAGTTGCATGATTAATCACTGTCTGGATAGGGTAGAATCTGTTCAACTCCTATTAGAACATAGGTTCCAGAGAAGTCACTGCATGTAATAAATACCCATGTTGGATGCATGCTCAGCGATCACTGTCATGCTGTGAGTCAGGGGTAGAGTTAGGTTTAAAGCTGCGGTCTCCTAATCTCAGGCCAGTGTTTGCTGAATAACTACTGGCATTTCACAGAGAAGAAAACATACCAAAAGTTATCAATTACTTGCCTTCTAGCCTTTTTATATCAGCAGCTAAGTAAAAAGATAAAATATTTCCAGTTACTTAAGTTTCAGAAAAGATCCTATTTCAATAGACGATTTAATGATATTAATAGGAATTATTTATAAGTTTCTACGCATGATGTATAGATTGGTTAAGTATCTTCTCAGTATGTAGAAAATCTAGAATTTATAGATTTAAGACAACTGAGTTATCTAAAAATAATGCAGCTTTGTAAAAAAAAATTAGGTTTTTGGTAAAGTTACTGGTTTCGAAAGACAAGGCTGTTATACACTCTATTTTGCTTTTATAGGGCTTTCAATGTTTTATTTTGTAAAAAATGAATAAAGCAAAGAGAGAGATTACATTGTCTGCCTTCTCCATAGAAAAAGAACTGTTAGGCTAGAATGACCTTTTTCTTCCTTTGATATAAAATAAAAATTCTAAAATTTAGAAATAAATTAGAGCTGAAAATCATCTTTACTTTTTTTAGTCTAGATATTACGTTTTTATTTATTTTTTGTTTGGAACAATAACAAGTAATTAGAAATTAGGCTAGGAAAGCCATTTTGGTCAGAGAAAACTAAATCTAAGCTCTCTGCTGCCCTCTACAAGTAATAATGTGAAATGCAATTGCCAATCTGCTTTTTTCAACTTGGTAATTATTTGCAAGGATCTTACATAGAGGAAAACATAAACCATCTTTTAATCTGTACAGAAATACAAATGACAGTAGAATTTATATTCTCGGCATTGTGTACCTCTCATGTTTTATATTACTAACATAAACATATTTAAAAATCATACAAATGTACAAAAATTTTTCTAAATATAAGAAAAGTATATTCCACTTCAGAACTCTAGAGTTCAAGATACAAATAACTAGTTCAAAGAGTTCAAGATACAGATAACTAGTATGTATCTCACTAAAAAAGGTTAGTAATAGAATTTCAATGTTTTTTTTGAAAGATTTTATTTAATTTCAGAAAAAGGGAAAGGGAGAGAGAAAAAGAGGGAGAGAAACATTAATGGGTTAGAGAAACATCGATTGGTGATCTGTTGCCTCTTGCACGCCCCGACCTAACCAGGGATTTGGTCCACAACCCAGGCATGTGCCCTGACTGGGAATGGAACCAGTGACCTCTTAATCTGCAGGAATGATGCCACAACCCACGGAGCCATGCCAGCCAGGTCAGAATTTCAAATCTTACTAAAAAAGAAGCACTAACTGAAATATTAACAAAATAGAATTTCAGAAAAACTAGAGTTCCAAACTATCTAGTAATGAGTTAAAACAACAACAAAGAAGTTAGTAATGAAGTTACATGTGGATTTGAGTTTTTAAAAATCATTTGGATTAAAAATCTGAGTGTGTCTGCAAGCTTTACTAAGAATTTGATTTCGGAAAAGATCAATTCAGATCAATTAAATACTACTAGAAAGACTATAAAAAGAATAGTTGACAGGCTAAAAAGTTTGGTATGACTAAAACCATGATTCTTTTTGCAATGATAATACAAAGAGTAAAGAAAATGGGGAATTGGTGCTGTTAGTGGTGCCTTTTTATTTCAAGTACACAGAACAACAAATCATTCCCAGTATAATTAAGATCACTTCTGTTCATGTAACAAGATTTTGAGTGGGATTTTCCCCTGAAACACAGTTAAGGCCCATGCCCAATCTCTTATTGTCTCAGCCCACTTCTACTTGAGTTGTTGATGTTCCCCCAACGAACAGCTCCATGACAGCACCTTGCCTCAGCTGCACCATGTACCTCTTGCTTTTCATCCTGGGCTTCTTGGAAGCCAGTGTGGCATGTAGCATGTAGCGTGACTATTGGAGCATAGGAACTGATGGATAAAAACTTCCCCCTCAGTCCCCTGAGAAAACAATTCTGCAGTATATTTCACAGAGCTCTACAGAAGGTCCCAGCAAGATCAATCCTTAGTTGTCTACAGTGTTGACCAACTTAGTTATAGACACCTGCGTAAGTTCAGGCTCTGATTTCTGGAGGGAATCCTGGCAAATACACTGACACTGAGACTGACCCTAGAGATTATGCACACAGGATGGGACTGTGGAACTGGGTCACTCATTGGTAAAACGATGATAAAGGCTGTAAGTGTGGATTGGGTATAGATGGAGCAGTGAAGAATGGTTTATGTAGCAGTGGTGACATATGAACAACATAGAGGCAATAGTAATTGTAAAGATTAAAGAGCTGCCTGGCTTTTGTTAATTGCTTTAAAAGCCTTGAAAAAGCAGCTGGTAACCTTTATAATGGTCTCAGAGTCATTATGACTAGAAGGGCAAGTGGAAGCCCCTAAAATTTCACCTTCTACAGGTGAATAGCTGGACCAAGATAATAAATAGAAGCACAACTGCACATCAAGAGAAAATAGAGTTAACCATCAAAGTTACAGCAGGCAAGAGTGGTAGTCTCCACTGCATCTCTATTCAATTAATCTGTGTGCCTTCTACAATGAGAGGGATTGTTTTGGCTAACAGTACACTACTGTAAACTTAACTAAAAGTTTAATCTCAGCTATTATGCATGATGTAGAATCTTTACTGGAACAGATCAACACATCCTCTAGCATTTGATAGATGGCTACTAATCTAGCTGTGTTCTTTTCAATTGCCATCAGTAAAGAAGACCAAAAGTAGTTAGCTTTTATGTGGGAAGGACAGCAGCCTGTATTTCATGCACTGAGGCTGTTAATTTTTCTGTTTTCTGCCATTGAGTGTCCATATGAGCCTTGATATCCACAGAATATCACGTTAGTTTAATATACTGATGACATCATTCTGATCAAGCTTGAGGTACCTACGGTAGACAAAGATGTTGTGTAATGTCTCTGTTAAGGCCTGGAAGGGGATTTCAATGCTGATCCCTATGGTTCTCAAGGTAGGCTATGCTTTCCAAGGCAGAAAACCACTTACTGTTTGAACAGCAGTGCCTGGTGTGCTAGCAGCCCCAGTAAAGACTGTTTCCTATATTTCTTTGACCAGCTTTACCATTCTGTTGGTTCATTCATTAATACATTAAATCTTTGACACGTCTTCACTTTTAAAGAAAAAAAAAATGCAGATAGAGCAACTAGCATAGCAAAACAGAAAACCTAGTCTACAACAAAACAAAGAGACAATGTTTCCATCAAAACCTTTTGTTGACAGGTAGTGAGTGACTAACCAAACAGCTATGACATTCACAAAGTATCAGTCTTTGTGCATTAAGAAAAAAAGGTAAGGAAAATGGGCTTCTCTGATGGCCCTGATTCTGATTCTAGGGGATCAGCCACAATGGCGTGCTAGTCTTAGAACAACAGTCTAATGTGGAAAGGACTCTAAGGATCAAATTCTTAGGTTGAGGGAAGGCATACTGCCATCCATGCAAGGAGTTTACAGGTGCTAAAGCAATATGGGCCATATAAATTTTTGAAACTAACACTACTCTGAGAAAGACTGCTAAGAGTAGAATCCAAATTGAGCAGAACAGGGCAATAGCAGCAAAGACAAAAAAAAGTTCAGATTTAAAAAAGGGAGATAAAAAAGACATCAGAAAACATGAGGATGAATTTTAAAAAATCATGATTCCTGTGAACCCTGGTTGGTGTCCACTGGATTGAGCACCTGCCTGGGAAGCGAGGCTTATGGGTTTGATTCCCAGTCTAGGGCACATGCCTGGGTTGTAGGCCGGATCCCCAGGAGGAGGCGTATGAGAGGCAACCACATATTAATGTTTCTTGCCCTCTCTTTCTCCCTCCTTTCCCTTCTTTCTAAAAGTAAATAAATAAAATCTTTAAAAAGTAAAATAAAATCAGTTTGTAAAAACAACAGAAGGAGCTCTACAGTTATGAAGCTGGAAACAGGCTATCTTCATCTAAAAATGCAGGAAAACTCACTGCTTTTAAAAAATGAGCAACAGAAAAGAATCATGAACCTACTTTCAAACTATTGTAAGAAAACAGAAAATGTGGAGTAGAATGCCTCCACAGCATAAAATAAGCACATTATAGAAGCTATGGAAGAACATAAAAATTCAGAAATTAGGTGACCGGAAAAAGGACAATTTAAAATAAGGCGATAGAACCAAGAAAGAATTAAAAATATTACTTCAGAATAAAAAAAATGACTAATGCATTAAGACAAAAAGGAAGATGAGCTTTAAAAAAATCCACCATAAATATAAAAAACAGAGAGGGAAGACGAAACAATAGAAACAATGCCAAAAACTGTAATTTAAAAAAGTAGGTTACAAAATAACTTCAAATGACCTATTTATTATAAATTTTTAAGAGTGGCCCTTTATGCCAGAAACAATGGAGTGAAATATTTAATAAATTCAAGTAAAGAAAATGTGAGGCATGGATCTCATATCCATCCAAATTAACCTTCAAGTATAAAGACTGCAAACAAACTGATATGCACACTCAATTACTCAGGGAATATGGTTCCCATGAACATTTCCTTTGAATTCACTCAATTCTGGAACAGCAGTCAGCAGACTTTTTCTGTAAAAGCCGAAACAGTAAATATTTTAGTCTTTGCAGGTCCACAACTACTCAACTTTTGTCCTTGTAGTGCTTTTAAAAGCAGCCGTAAATAAATAGTATGTAAATAAGTGAGCGGGTTGGATATGACTCCTGGGCCACAGTTTCCTGACCCCTGTACTAGAGAATGAGCTTCAGAAAACCAAAGACCTAGGAAGGTAGTGACCTAAGGACTGGTGCTGAGAGCTAAATATATGTATTTGTTTACTTGTAGAACTAAAACTAAATGATGGTTCTAGGGTACACGGCACAGCTTGTAATGGCTAAGTGCTCTGACCCGTTAGGCACAGCAAAACTATTTAAAAAAATGGAGAATGGTGTGCACATGAAAGGTAAAGTAAGCACTTACTACTTTGAATGTATTAATTTAGAATAATGATACTACTTTAATCAGAGAAGATGTGCTAATTAAAATAATGTTGAGAGGAATGAGCCAATTTATAGTTACCAACAAGGGGAAACTGAAAGCATTATATAAAGATAACCAACAGAATGAAAATATCAATTTTCCTAAATATCAAAAGATAAATCAAAGCAAAAACACAAATAAAACAAGAAAGGAAAGAATAAAATAGAACAGATAATGAAAGAGAACACGATACTGTTTATTCAAGACAGCAGGATATATAGATATATTTGCAACTGCTTATATTTTTAAAAAGTGGAGGATAAACCATAAAATTAAAAAAAAGATTTTGTATAGAGGAAAGGAGCAGGGTACAAGAACCAAGGATAGAAACAAGAATCTCACAGAACTGACTTTGAAATTCTACACACCTTTGTTACATACTTATTTAGAACTGTTACTTAAAAGCAGTAATTCTTAAAAATTAAAAATCAAAAGATGTGAGTTAATAGCATAATTACACACAGAAAAGAGCTAGTTCTATAATTTAAAAACTGAGTAATTTGTACATCCTTATTACAGTCTATGTGTCAAAGACAAACTCTGAAAAATAAAACATAAAATGTTTTCAGTAATAGTATCATTTTTATTAATTTGTAATACTATAACTGCTGTCCCAGAATCTGGAATAACTTGACTATTATTCCAGTAATAAGTCCTGGAAGAAAAGGAGGCCAATAAACTTCTAAATATGAGGCGCAGGTCAAAAGGAAATCAACACAATGTGCACCTTAAATTTGCACAATGTTGTATGTCGAGTATATTTTAATAAAGCTGGGGCGGGGGATGGGAAGGACAAAGGCAGCATCCTGAGGCAGCATACAGTCACTAAAGAAGAGATAATTTGAGCATAAAAGTAATAACCAAAATGGTCAAAATATGACAAATATGTTCATATTCATGATTTCATAATAACATTATGCAGAAAAAATCAGTCACTTTTAGAGAATTTCAATGAATAAAACTCATTATCTTTGAAGACCAATAAAAGAAAAGAGTCAAACATTTGTCCTGCCTGTATTATAACTCAGTGCCTCAAAGTAACCAAATGATTGATGATGGGAATTTTTACAAAAATATTTCTCTTTACAGAAATATTCCAGATAATAAAGAGAGGACTGATAAAGGCATAAGAAAATAATTTTGCAACTTTCAATAAATAAACTGATGTAGGCAATGATAATTTTGAAAACATTACAAAAAGACATTATACACCCTCAGAAGGAAGTACACAGCCCAAAACAATCTCTAGATCTAACTACCAATTTATTAGAAATACAGCGAATAGAGGAACACAGGAAATGATACCATGGGTATATAATCATGAACATTAAGGTTATGGAAAACTGTATTGGAAAAAAGACATGACTTCTTCAACAATGAATTACAAGAAAACAAAGAGCGGAAACCTACAGATTAAAAGATACTAAAGAAATATAATCAATCATAATGTATAAACCTTGTATGAATTGGAATTCAGACAGACAAAATAAAAAACAAAAAAATGTTTAACAATTAAGGAAAGTGTGGGCGCTGCATCTGATAAGATAAATGCAATGATACAATATCTAGGGTTTGAGTCAAAATAGTCCACAGGAGGGTAGGTGAGTAGATACATGAAACAAGACCGAATTGATCACAAATTGATAAATGCTGAAACTGGGGTGAAGACAAGAAGGACTTTCTTTAAGAAGATTTGACCATGATTTTATTGTAGCTAACTACACATAACTGTCTTATTTCTGGATATGATTTGATTTAAATCATACTTAAAAACACTCAGGATTACCATTTCATACTTTTTTGTTCTTTCAGTACAAGATTCGAGACTCATAGATAGAGAGCAGGCAGAAAACTCTGGGATAGGGGTTAGAGGGTAAGGGGATGAATAAAAAAAAGACTCACGGACATGGACAACAGTGTGGTGACTGCTGGGGGGAAGAGGGGAAGTGAAGGTAGAAGAGAGTATAAGGGGGATAAAAGGTAATGGAAAAAATACAATAAAAAATAAAAGTACCTCTGGCCCAAGCACCAGGATTCTAAAGCAAGAGATCTGGGACAGACACCAAGAAGCTGAATATTTAATAAACACTTCAGGTGTGTGTGTGTGTTTTTAAATGTAGTTAAAATTGTTTTTGCAAAAAGCCTAACACTGAAGACACATAATTCTTCTAGAAAGACATTATGTACACACACAATCTGGCTTACAAGATTTGCTAATATGTTGAGGGGACAGGCCTATTAAAACTTAATTTTTAGAAAACACCTTGTCTTTAAAAAACAGCAGTAGCTGCTATCATTAAACATAATGCCAAACTATTTTTTTAAATCTCATTAAAAATGTATTACTTTTCATACGATCTTTAGAAAAGGTTTCTTAAAACCAAGATAGTTCTAAAAATTTGCCAAAGAATAAAAAGGAGAAAGAGAGGGACATAAACCTTACTCTATGGAGTAAGTAATCCCAAAGATACCAGGCTTTTGGACTTAACTACAATTGTACACTAAAGGACATAATTATTTTTACATGTGCACTGCATATTAGTTTTTCATTGGTGACACACTGGAAACTCATGGACCACATCTGGCTTGTAGATGAGGTATTTGGCCTACACATTGTTTTAGAAAAAATTTGATCTGACTTTTAAAATTCAGGAGATTGCACCACATAAACATCCGGATTTTGCAGTCCCACCTGCAGCAGTGGGCGCAAGCAGAGTGGCAGCTTCCTCTTCCAGGAGGGGCATGGCGCCCTCCTTTTCACCACAGTCCTTATCCTACCACCTTTCCTTTCAAATACTCTAGGCCTGGTCTCCTTAGACATATGAATATGTGATGAGCAGTTATAACCTAACATTGTTCTGAGGGGGGTTTCCTCCTCATAGGCAACAAAGTACTACAGACAAAACAGGCTACCTATAAGAGCCAATAGCATTCAGTTTTACATTTAAAAAATGCACCCCCCCCCAAACATTCATTGTTCTTATAACACAGAAATCAATGCTACCTGCATATTTTTAAATGCTTTTCTTAACAGAGCAGTAAGGCTTACCTTCAGATCAAGGCTGCTAAGGCTTACGACATCATCGTCTTTTGCTCTTCTTTTTCTTTTCTAGAAGATAAAAAGATTTCATTCTTAACAGAAGTAAAGCATATTACTCCATACAACTAGAAAAATCACTTTAAGAAGTGAAGCCTTTGACTGTTTTAGAAGAATATTTTTTATGAGGAATGCTCATAAATTACCTCTACCATATATACTGTCTAATAAGCACCCCCTGATTAAATCATTTCTTGTCTGTGAAGTGATTCCACCCTATTAAAAAACTTATGTAAAGTTTCTCAGGACAATACTCTTATATAAGCCAAGGGCTGTCTATACTTGTTAGAGAAAAAGTAAATGTTTTATACATAAAGGCAACAAAGGTTCTTTAAAAAGGAACACACATTATTTATTCTACGGGAGAGAGGGAATCTTCGCTAGAAAAAAATATGCTTTTATTATGGCCCAAAGTAATTAGCTTGAGGAGAAACTGGTGGGAGTAGAATCAAAATCAGGCAGGACAGTAGAAAAAAAGAAAGATCAAGTCCAGGTAGAAGTGGGGAAAACACATGGAGCCTGAAAGTCTCAGAAGCAGGCCAACACGAAAAGAACAAAAGAGAGAGCTCCATGAAATTAGAAAACTCATCTGAACCAAACCTCTTTGTTAAAGGTCCAGGAAAACTATATTCACACTGAAAAGAATGGAAAATTCTCCAACTCAACTTCTTCAAAAAATAACTCTAAGAAAAAAGAGACTAAGGGTCAGAACAACAACCCTACAGGGAACGAAGTTACCTCAGAAGGAAATGCTCAGAGACAAACTGTAACATACTACTATTTCAAATTTAGGTAAAAGACAAGAAAATGACATAAGACATGAAAAAACAATATAAATCAGACTTAGAAAAAACAAGAAAATGAAGTGACAAAACTCAAGATCTAGAAAATGCAGAAAAGTATAAATAATATGATGCTAACTTTGAAAAGCAAACTAAGCAAAAATCCTCCATGTGCGTATTTTATCTGTGAGGTTGTGTATCTGTAAAAAACTCTATGAGCAAAATATACAGAGAAACATTAACAGTGCTGTTGACATGGATTAGAGTGGAGGTTGGGGATGGAACACAGACATATATGGGGAGGAAAACAGGAGAAAAAACTGCCAAGCAAAAGGATTGTACTGAGGAAAAAAAATGCACATACATGATCATACTTATGCATTTTTATAAAACTGTACATATGTGTAGGCATATATAAAGAAATTTAACAGATTTTAACACATTCTACTGTATTTTATTTTAAAGTTTTGCTTTTCATACTTATTCAATCCATCTAGAACATATTTTTTGTATGTATGTGGTATGAGGTACTATAACCAACACGTCAGCCCACCATTCCTTCATAATGCTTATGATATAGTAAGTTCTCAAATATTAGTGGGTCAATTTCTGGGTTATCTATTTTGTTCCAACGATTTATCCATCCCTGTACCCATGGAGGGACCCCTGTACTCCATTTATCCTGTACCCATATCATGTTGTGTAATTAGTGTACCTTTGGAGTAAGTCTTCTTTTTTTAAGGTTTCATTTATTTATTTTTTTGAGAGAGGGGAAGGGAAGGAGAAAGAGAGGGAGAGAAATATCACTGTGTGGTTGCCTCTCACGTACCCCCTACCTGGGACCTGGCCCACACCCCAAGCATGTGCCCTAACTGGGAACTGAACTGGTGACCTTCTGGTTTGCAGGCTGGCACTCAATCCACTAAGCCACACCATCCAGAGCTGGAGTAAGTATTAATAGCTAATACAGCAGGTCATATGATGCCTGACTTATACATTACTTTTGCTGTTCTGGGTCTTCTACTTTTCCATGTAAATTGTAGAATGAGATCTATTATACTCCAACGGGATTTCTTTCAGAACTATACTGAATTCACTAATTAATTTCAGGGAGAACTGACATTTTTATGCTATTGGGCCTTTCCTTGCCTGAATGTGGTGTATCTCCATGAAATTAGCTGTCCTCTGTTCTTTGTAAATGCTTTTCAATAGTTTCCATAAAGCCTCACAGGTCTTTTCATAGATTTATTCTTAGATTTTAAAATCGCTGTTATTTCATAAAAGCATCTGTGAAGTTACATTTAACTGTTTATTGCTGGTATATATATATTCTATTGATAACTTTTAATAACTTTTATAGCCAGAAACCTTGCTTAAACTCTTGTTCTAACAGCTGCTATTAATTTTCTCTTGGATATTCTATGTAGACAATTATGGTTGTTTTTTTCCCTTTTATTTCTTTAAAATATATTTTATTGATTATGCTATTACAGTTGTTCTATTCTCCCCCTTCATTCCCCTCCACTCTGCACGCCCCTCCCCCACCATTCCCCCCTTTTAGTTTATGACCACATGTCTCAAGTTCTTTAGATTCTATATTTCCCATACTATTCTTGCCCCCCTATCTATTTTCTGCCTACCATCTATGCTACTTATTTTCTGTACCTTCTCCCCCCTTCGCCTCCTCCCACTCCCCTGTTGCTAGCCCTCCATGTGGTCTTCATTTCTATGGTTCACTCCTGATCTAGCTGTCCTCTTAGTTTGCTTTTGTTTTAGGTGTGGTTCTTAATAACTGTGAGTTTGCTGTCCTTTCACTGTTCATCTTTTTTATCTTCTTTTTCTTAGATAAGTCCTTTTAACATTTCATATAATAAGGGCTTGGTGATGATGAACTCCTTGAATTTGATCTTATCTGAGAAGCACTTTATCTGCCCTTCCATTCTAAATGAAAGCTTTGCTGCATAGAGCAATCTTGGATGTAGGTCTTTGGATTTCATGACTTGGGATACTTCTTTCCAGCCCCTTCTTGCCTGTAAGGTCTCTTTTGAGAAATCAGGTGACAGTCTGATGGGAACTCCTTTGTAGGTGACTGTCCCCTTATCTCTTGCTGCTTCTAGGATTCTCTCCTTCATTTTAATCTTGGCTAATGTAATGATGTGCCTTGGTGTGCTCCTTCTTGGGTCCAACTTCTTTGGGACACTCTGAGCTTCCTGGATTTCCTGGAAGTCTCTTTCCCTTGCCAGATTGGGGAAGTTCTCCTTTATTATTTGTTCAAATAAGTTTTCCACTTATGGCTGTTCCTCTTCCCCTTCTGGTACCCTTATAATTTGGATGTTGGAGCATTTAAAGATGTCCTGGAGGTTCCTTACCCTCTCCTCATTTTTTTGAATTCTTGTTTCTTCATTCTGTTTTGTTTGGTCATTTTTTTCTTCCTTCTGGTCCACTCCCTTGATTTGACTCCCAGTTTCCTTTTCATCACTATTTGTTTCCTGTGCATTTCCCTTCATTTCAATTAGGTTAGCCTTCATATGTTCCTCTAATTCGTGACTAAAGTCAACCAGTTAGTTCTGTGAGCATCCTGATCACCAGTGCTTTGAACTGTGCATCTGAAAGTTTGGCTATTTCTTGGTCGCTTAGAGTTATTGGCTCTGGGGCTTTGAGTTCTTGAGCCATGTTTTGGTCTGTTCATGCCTCTTACATATGAGGAGTGGAGCCTTAAGTGTTCACCAAGGCGGGGCCACCCAGGTTCCTGGGTCGTGAGGCTGTATGTGGGGGTGGGGTCAAAGAGGAGCAATGGTGGTCCCCTCTGCTGCTTTCTGCTGTTGGGGCCTGCGTGGTCTGTCTCACTGCTCGCTCCTTCGCTGGTTTATCTGCGTGTGCGAATGTGTGACCCCGGTCAGCCTGCCACTTTGCGCCCTTACTGGGTCCGCTTGTTGCCACCTGTGCGCCTGGGTCAAGAGATCTTTCCTGCCCAAACCCGCTCTGCTGCTGGCTCCACCCCTCTTACTGGTCTGGCTGAACGGTTCATTGTTGTTGGACTTCCCTATAGTTCAATTTTCTGTGTCTTAGCTGCCGTTTTTGTTACTAAAACTTTGATGTCTTTAAACTTGGTTGTGTGAGAAGGCACAGTATTTCCACCTATGCCTCCATCTTGGTGGAAGTCCCAATTATGATTTTTTAAGTAATGATATTATACTGGTCTTTCTTTTCTAATTTGTATATCATTTGTTTTTCTGTCTTACTGTGCTGGCTAGGGGCACTAGTACAATGTTGAATGAAAATAGTGACAGGCTTTTCTCTAAATTTGAAAGACATGTTTAAATATTTTACCATAATATATGTTGTTTGACTAAGGATATTTCTATTCTATTCCTGGTTTGACAAGAATTTTATGAGTGTTGACTTCATTTTTTTTCCACTCTTACTTTTTCTTCTCTTTTATTTGATTTACTTTATTGTTATTTTTCCAACCTCATAAGTTAGATGCTTAATTTTTGTTATTTTCTTTTCTTAAACTATGCACTTTAAAGTTATAAGTCTTGATGACTTCTGGCCAAGATGGAGGCATACTTGCACAACCAAAAGAAGGACAACAACAAATTTAAAAACAAAAAACAACCAGAACTGCCAGGAAATCAAACTGTACAGAAGTCTGACAACCAAAGTGTTAAGAAGAAACATTCATTTACACTGGTAAGAGGGATGGTGACAAGCAGCTGGTGTGGAGAAGACATGTGACAGGCAGCAGCTGGTGGACCAGTCAGTCCCACATGTGTGTGCGGATAAACCAGGAGGAACAATGGGGGAGTGAGAAAGACCACTCAAACCAAGGTTTCAATGCAGGGAAATAAAGCCTCAAAACCTCTGGCTGTAAAAACCTGTGGGAACAGTAAAATGACAATAAACTCATAGACATTAACAACTGAACGTAAAAAACAAAAACAAAAAGAAACTAAGCGATCTACTAGAACAGGAACAGAATCACAGACATGGAGATCACACTGGAGGGTTATCAGCAGGGAGAGGGAAGAGAGAGAAAGGGGAAAAAGGTACAGGGAATAAGAAGCATAATTGGAAGGTACAAAATAGATGGGGGGAGGTTAAGAATAGTATAGAAAATGGAGAAGCCAAAGAACTTGTAATGTATGACCCATGGACATGAACTAAGGAGTGGCGAAATGCTAATGGGAGGAGGGGAATAAAGGGAAATAAAGGGCAAAGGGGAAAAAAGGGACAACTGTAATAGCATATCAATAAAATATATTTAAAAAAATAAAATAAAATCTTCCTCTTAGAACTCCTTAATAACATTCTGAAAGTTTTAATACATAAACCTAGAGATATTTCTTTTGTCATGGGAGTCCTCTTTGGAAGTATTTCCCAAGTGATATGCACCCATACTGCAGGATATGCAAGGTATGTTCCATGGAGTGCAGGGAGAAGATGTTAGAACTTTTATTTTCACGTATTTCTTAATCCTTCAAAATAAGCTTTACTAATATTTAATATACAGATGAGTTCATCACAGACACTATATGGTTAAAGATAGTGGTGATCTAATCAGATCTTATATGAAGTCAGTCCTCAGGACACAAAATTAATATCCAGAAATCAGTTGCATTTTTATATGCCAATAATGAACTAGCAGAAAGGGAAATAAAACAACCCACTCACAACTGCTTCAAAAAGCATAAAATACCTAGGAATAAATCTAACCAAGGATGTAAAAGATCTGTAATTGGCAAATTACAGTGAAGGAAGAAACTGAAGAAGATACAAGTAAGTGGAAGCATATACCATGTTCATGGATAGGAAGAATTAACATCATTAAAATGTCCATTCTACCCAAAGCAATCTAAGATTCAACACAATTCCTATCAAGATACCAATTATGTATTTCACAGAATTAGAACAAATCTTTCAAAAATGTATATGGAATCACAAAAGGCCCCAGAGAGCAACAGCAATTCTGAGAAAGAACAAGAAAGTTGGAGGAATCATGCTACCTAATATCAAACTATACAATAAGGTTACAGTAATCAAACCAGCATGGTACTGGCTTAAAAAGACACATAGATCAATGGAACAGAATAGAGAACCCAGAATAAACCTATATTTTTATAGTCAATTAATATTTGACAGAGAAAGCAAGCACATACAATGGGCTAAAAATAGTTTATTCAATAACAGTGTTGGGAAAACTGGACAAATATTTGCAGAAAAATGAATCTAGACCACCTTCTTACAACACACACAAGAATAAACTCAAAATGGACTAAAGACTTAAATGTTAGACCCGAAACCATAAAAATCCTAGAAGAAAACATAGGCAGTGAAATCTTGGGCATTGTTCATGGCAATATTTTATCTGATATATCTCCTCAGACAAGGGAAACAAAAAAAAAAAATGGGACTACTTCAAAATAAAAAGGTTTTACACTGTAAACTACCAACAAAATAAAAAGATAACCCTCAGAATGGGATACATCTGATAAGGGGTTAATATCCAAAATTTATGTAAAACTTAAAAAAAAAAACAAAACCCAAACAATCCAATTAAAAAATAGGCAGAGGACCCAAATAAACATTTCTCCAAAGAGGACACACAGATGGCCAATGGACATATGAAAAAATTCTCAACATCACTAATCATCAGAGAAATGCAAATCAAAACTACAATGAGACATCACCTCACACTGGTCAGAATGGCTATCATCAATAGATCAACAAAAAAGTGCTGGTGGGGATGTGGAGAAAGGGGAACACTTTTGCACTCTTGGTGGGAATGCAGATTGGTCCAGCCACTGTGGAAAGCAGTATGGAGATACCTTAAAAAAAAAAAAAACTAAATGGAACTGCCTTTGACCCAGCAATCCCACCTCTACCCCAGAACACTAAATCAAAAGAACCATAGCACCCCTATGTTCATTGCAGTGTTATTTATCATCATGAAGATATGGATGCAGTGCCCTCCCTAACCTCCACCACCCAAGTGCCTATTAGTAGATGAGTGGATAAAACAACTATGGGGCATTTATATACTGTGATACTGCTCAGCTGTAAAAAAGAAGAAAATCCTTTGCAACAGCATGGATGGACCTGAAGAACATTACACTAAATGAAATAAGCCAGTCAGAGAAAGACAAATACTGTATATTTTCACTCATATGTGGAATTTAATGAACAAAGTGAACTAATAAGCAAAATAGAGACAGACTCATAAATAGAGAGCAGGATGACAGCTATGGGGGGTGGTGGTTAGGGGATGGAGGGGTAGAGCAAAAAGGAAAAAAGACTCATGTACACGGACAAAAGTATAGTGATGTGCGTGGGGGGAGGGGATAAATGCTTCTTTTTATTTTTTATAGAAAAAATATAAAATTAATTAAAAAATAAAGAAGTCAGCTCTAAACTGTGACATCATCATGGGCTATCTGAAATATATATATATATATGCTCACTATCATTAATTTTGCTCTAGGTGAGTATTGTGTTGTGAGATATTAGCTAATAATGGTTGTATAAGCATAAAAATTATAAATAAATGTATGAGGGGTATATGTTCAAATATTTTTTGATAGACATGCAAATCAAGTTTAGAAATACTTTTAAACTTTTTCCATTTAAGTTTAGCCTCATCAGATAGTAAGAGAATGGGACCAAGATGAAAAAAATTTCAAAGGAAAATGCATAATTGCATTAAAATCAAGAGGTGCTTTCTGTAATAGCTTATCTGATAAATTAATGTATGTAATCAGTATAACAGCACAGAAATCTTGAATGGAGTCTCCAACAGAAACATAAATTAAAGACAAAAGAATAGAACACAAATTATGTATTGTTGAACCTAACAGCATATCAATAAAGGTACACTAATAAAGTTTGGCAAGCTAGAAATAGAATCATTTTTGCTATTTCACCAATATAAAAAAACATAAAAATTATGCCCTATTTGGATTGGTTCGGCCAAAAAGCCCATTATGTTTTTTCTGTACAATGGCTCTAGTAGTGCTTAGTTGTCTTTAACTACATTTGAAACAATTTTGTTAAATTGTATTGTGGCAGCTGTTATGTCAGTGTGCATAAACACACACACACACACACACACACACACACACACACACACAAACTGAGATTTCCAGCCAAGATGGAGGCGTTGGTAGACACACTGTGCCTCCTTGCACAACCAGGACAACAACAATGTAAAACAAAAAACCAACCAGATCTGACAGAAAATCGAACTGTATGGAAGTCCAACAACCAAGGAGTTAAAACATTCATCCAGACCAGTAATAGGGGCGGAGATAGGCAGCTGGACTCTCCGCAAGGTATTGACTAGCAGACCCAATGAGGCAGCGGACTGTAGAACGGGGAGTGCAAGGCTGTAGCTGGCAGTCCCAGCAAGGCAGCAGAATGCAGTATGGGTGGTCCCACATTCGTGTGCAGATAAAGTGGGAGAAACAACCGGGGAGCAGGATGGACTGTGCAACCCAGGGTCCCAGCTCTGGGAAATAAAGCCTCAAAACTTCTGACCAAGAACACCTGTGGGGGTTGAAGCGGTGGGAGAAACTCCCAGCCTCACAGGAGAATTTGTTGGAGAGACCCAGGGTCCTAGAATGTACACAAACCCACCCACAGAAGAATCAGCACCAGAGGGGCCCAATTTGCTTGTGAAAAATGGAGGAAGTGACTGAAATCCGGCAGAGAATGAAGCAAATGCCATTGTTCCCTCTCAGACCCCTTCTCCACATATAGCATCGCAATACAGCAATATGGGTTGCCCCACCCTGGTGGACACCTAAGGCTCCATCCCTCACTAGGCAACAGGTGTGTCAAGACAAAGAAAAAAATGGCCCAAAGGAAAGAACAGATCAAAGGTCCAGAACAAATACAACTAAGCAATGAGGAGACAGCCAGCCTATCTGATGCAGTTTGAAACACTGGTAATCAGGATGCTCACAGAATTGGTTGAATTTGGTTGCAAGTTAGATGAAAAAATGAAGGATACACTAAATGAAATAAAGGAAAATGTACAGGGAACCAATAGTGATGAGAAGGAAACTGGGACTTGAATTAATAGTATAGACCAGAAGGAAGAAACATCCAACCAGAAAAGAATGAAGAAACAAGAATTCGAAAAAAGGAGGAGAGGCTTAGGAACCTCCAGGACATCTGCCACGTCCTCTTCTAACCATGTTGTCTGACAAGGTCCGGGCATGGAGGAGTTGAGTTCAAGGAATTCGTCTTCCCGGAGGAGAATGTGGCATCCAAAATGGGTTAACAATTGGCTGTTTTATTTTAATTATTTTACTCTTGCTACTGAATATAGACATTGTACTGTACTTACTTATTCCTGTGAAAATCACCCAAGAGGAAGGGACAGTTCAGGGGAAAACATTAGTATTCCCCATGGAACTGCCTGAAAGGATGGAAAAATCTCCACAGATTCTCCTCTCCCTTATACAGGGGTGTATGACAGCCAGGGTAATATAATTGTTAACCATAAGGAAAAACATGTCAAGTTGTATAAATTACCCTGGTTTGAGCAATTTAAAGCAATCAGGACTGTCATGGTGTACCAGAAATAAGAAAAACAAGTTAGATCTCTTAAATCAACAGTTAAGGCCAGTTAATAAAGAACCAGGTTATTGTTGCAAGCACAGGTTGTGCTGCCAACAGTTGAGGGAATGGAAGAACAGATTAGAAAGACTTTCCCATGACTGTCCTTACCTACAGATACAAAGGGTCTTCCAAGAAAACAAGTAAAAACTGTATAGACCCCTACCCACAGCCCAGGGATACGGTCGGGATGGTTGAGATGCATCTGCAAGGCAGAGGCAACTGTGGCAGGATTTCCTGTTTATCTCTCCTTACATGTTTGTTTCGGTGATCAAAAGGTGGTGGGATTGTTAGACACCTGTATTTCAGGTTCATTGATTTGCACAATTCCAATGAAGTTGTACAAATAATTTCTTGACCAGAGAACAAAGTTCCCGCTAATGAAGTAGTCCCTAAATGTTTAGAAGTTGTTGAAGTAACAGCCCCTCCTTTACCTTGAATAAGAATATATATCAATTAGACAGGCAAAGAAATAACAAAGGCTGGCTAGTTATTACAAACTAAACACGTAGAAACAGTTACTAAAGAGTCAGAGTTTATAGTACACAGAGAAACATTTTAGACAGAAAAAGATAGCTAAGTTAGACATCACAAAAGCCTTATAATAAATTTCCTATTACCTCTACTCAATCTAGCATATCCTTTTGCCCCATGACAAATTCTGAGAAACTTTAATATACAATAAGATATTCAAATTCTGTACATACAGCTATTTTTA